TTTACAAAAATGGTTAGGTGCTATGTAAAGAAAAATATAAAACTGTTTTAAGACTTACAAAAGAAGGTCTAAATAATGGAAACAAGTAATACGCGTGGATAGGAAGATAATATAAAGATATTAAATCTTTCTCAATTGATTTATATATTTTATAAATTATCCAATGATAACCCATACAGTGTTGTTCATGGAAATTGTTAAGATGGTTCTACATTTAAAATTTTTTAAATAGAGACAGAGTGTTGCTTTGTTGCCTAGACTGGTTTTGAACTCTTGGGTTCAAGCCATCCTTCTGCATTAGCCTTCCAAAATGCTGGGATTACAGACATGAGCCACCAGGCATGAGCCACCATGCTGGCCAGATTGTTCTACATTTTATATGGAAAAGTTTAAAGCAATGAGAAAGTAGAACACTTCTAAGAAAAAAAAATAGGAAACTTGTCATACTGCTGTTTCTTATTCTAAAGCTTTAGTATTTATATTGGCCATTGGTGTTGGGTCAAGGATGGACAAATGGGTGAATGCTGTAGGACAGGTCAGAACAAGATCCATTTACAGATCTTAGATATAAAACAGAAGCGTTGCTCCATCCAGTAGGAAAGAGGGGATTATTTAACAAAAAGAACTGAAGAAAAATGGCTATCAATATGGGAAAAAAAGTGAAATTGAGTTTCTATCTCATATCCCACACCTACCATGGTAGGGATGTCAACTACAGGTATATTAAATCAAAATATCCAAAGCAAAATTTAAAAACTCTTAGTAAAAATGTTAACTAATAACTTTTAGACTTGGGGGTACAAAAGAGATTCTTATACAAGCCATGAAAGCATTCGTTATAAAAACTGATAAATGTGACTCTTGTAAATCTAGATGGAAAGAGAATCTTTCTTTTCCACCAACACAGTGGACTAGTTGATGAAAGACCTTTTCCCAGTACAGCAGATTTGAAAAGGTTTGACTATATGTACACACATGCGCACACGCACACACCACACACACACACACACACACACACACACATTCTTCTCTCATATATGTACTCATCGCTATTAGAGATACGAATAATAAGGCACAGTCCTTTTTAAGTCATACATACACATTTTAAGTCATATATATATACACATTTTTATATATAAAGTATTTAATGTCCCCCAGAAGAAACAATAAAGAGCTTCAAGTACATAGATGAAGAGAGGAGAGCTGCGGTGGCTTAGGCCCATTGTCCTGGTGTGTGATGAGGTGAGACTAGGCATTCAAGGTTAGCCTGGGCAACAGAGAAACCTCTCATCCATTAAAAAAAAATTCTGCTGGGCACTGTGGCTCATGCCTGTAATCCCAGGGCTTTGGGAAGCCAAGGCGGGCGGATAATGAGGTCAAGAGATCGAAACCATCCTGGCCAACACGGTGAAACCCCATCTCTACTAAAAAAAATACAAAAATTAGCTGGGCATGGGGGTGTGCAGCTGTAGTCCCAGCTACCCTGGAGGCTGAAGCAAGAGAATCACTTGAGCCCAGGAATGGGAGGTTACATTAAGCCAAGATCACACCACTACACTCTAGCCAGGCAACACAGTGAGACTCCATTTCAAAAAAAAAAAAAAAGAAAAAAAAAGAGAGAGAGAGAATTTCTGTTACAGAATGAAAATATATTAGATTCAGGGTATTGTAACATATTTTGGTTTGTTCTCAGATTCCTAAGATATATTACTTAATCTTGCCTAATTGTTATGTGTTCTTTTTCATTTCTTTCCTTTAGCCAAACATTTGATATTTATATTTTTTAAATATATATTTTATTGTATTTTAGGTTTTGGGGTACATGTGAAGAACATGCAAGATCGTTGCATAGGTACATACATGGCAATGTGGTTTGCTGCCTTCCTCCCCATCATCTATATCTGGCGTTTCTCCCCAAGTTATTCCTCCCCAACTCCCCACCCCCCACTGTCCCTCCCCTAGATCCCCCCCCCACAGACCCCAGTGTGTGATGCTTCCCTCCCTCATAGGCGGGTGTTGAACAAAGAGAACATTTGATATTTTAATAGTCTCTTTGGTTACTTTTCTTACAAGAGATTTTATTTAAACCTCCTGACTCATCTGCTTCCCTGAGATGTATATCACGGAATAATGGATCTTTTCTTATTTTAAAAGTTTAATCAACTTATTTGAGTACTATAAATGCAATTATAGGTTCTATTTCTATTTCTCAAATCGTGCTATTCATTAATGACAATGACACTTTGCAATCTTAAAGCACCTTTAATCCAAGGATCATAAAGACATTTCCACAGGAGAAATTACTATCGTTAGCTGAGTTTCCTGATAGATCAAGAAGGAGAGTTGGTTCAGAGAATAGAAATGCCATTCAACTGCATTTCTTGTCCTGTCTTTTTTTTTTTTTTAAAACACCAAAACAGTTAAAGAAAGCCATTTTCAACCTAAAATTGGGCACACATTTTTAATACTTCTATATTTGTTTTTTATGAAAACGAATTGTGTGTTTTAGCCAAGGTAAATAAACATGGATACTTTTTCAGTGCAATTCTGAATAATGATTACACTTTCTCAAGTCCACCTTATATATATCCACGTTGCAGTAATTAGTATTAACTCTTAAGAAGAATCTGAAACAAGTTGGAAATTATTATTTTTTGTGACAATGTAGCTCTCCAATGAGCTCTCTTGAGAGGCTTTCTTGACTTGGATATAGAAACAGCTAGCACATTAGGAATTGTATATAACTCAGGGTATATTCATGGTAATGTATTATATAAATGACATTATTTCATCTTGGGTACTGTTATTGTAAAAAAGACCGGGAACTGCTGTTATGGAAGAAAGGAATCAGTCAGTCAAGGAGGTGGCAACTTGGGATATTTTAAGTAGAGAAAATTAAGTATCCCTTTATTCAGGAGAGAATATGCAATTAAAATATTTCAAAGTGGTATATAAATGTCAGGAATTGATTATGTTAATGTGAAATTCATAACATATGTGTTTTTCCAGCCAGAAATATCTTCCTCATTTGAATTTCGATCATCTTTTGTCTAGCCATCACTTAGAGAGCTATCAGCATCCTTTCTATTACTGTGTGTTGATGTACACTGAAAGTAAATGTGGGCTGAATAATTGAATTTTCCCCATATACTGTTCTAAGTACTTGACAACAACTTCATAAGAAAAGTATCATTTTTACCCCTATTTTACAGATGAAGAAACTGAGGATTTAAGAGGTTAACCTAGGAGCTCAGAAAGTTTTTGGTCATGTTTGGCAAATGGGTTTCACTTGAATATATAAGGAGTAGCTAAGATAGCACTTCTTGATTGGAGAGCTCCTATTTTATTCCCTGAGTAATATACATATCTCTCTCTCTCTATATATATATATATATAAAGTCATTTCCATGTGAATTAATAATAATAGGAATAATAATTTACATATTTACAGTCCTTTTAGGGCTTCAAAATTTATTCACATTTATTGTGAATTCTCTATGTGGTAAGTGAAGAAAAAGGGACATACACAAGTTGTGGAAATAAATGGGGCATGGAGTTAGCATGGACATTGAACATCCAGTTCTGAGACTGGTGCTCTTTCTTCCATGTGCTGCCATCTCTTGAAGCCTCAGCAGTTCCTGATGATACCAGATATCTGTAGTCTCATCAGAAAACTCACACCATGTTTAGATTTTAGGAATAATCAAGAAAACAGAATATTAGACATCTGTCCATTAAATAGTGGAAAAGTATTCAAATTGTTGCTGTGTGACTGTGATTACATGTATTTACAGGTTACTGGTTTTTTTTTTATATATAAAGTCGTTGATTTGTTTGATAAGTTAAATACTTTAGAATTTTGTGATGGCTAGTAGTTAAGCAACTCTACAAATAGGGTAAGAAACTCATAAAATGAGAATATGTACAGTTGACATATATAGCTATTAGTAATGTATACTTTTTGAGAAAACAGTATGAGACAGAGATAAGAAGGGGAAACTCTTTAGCACAGTATAGAAATTAAATTCAATATCCTGTGAGAAGAGATTCAGAGAAGGGGCCTGCAGAGAGAAGATAGACACCAAGAAAAGGAATTGGTGTCAGGTGAATTTTTCAAGATAGGAAAAAATAAAAAAAAAAAAATGAAGAGAGGTCTAAAAGCTTTTGGAGAAAAGGAAAGCCTACATAGATAGTAAAGCTAGGTGAAACAAGACATTGGGATGGTGATCCATTTCTACTCCTCCCCTGTAATTGCATAAACGACAAAAAAGAGGGAAAGTAAAAGTGAGCAGAAACTATTAAGAGAAAAGATGAAAACTTCCGAGAAGAGAAGAATGGGGTTTAGAAAAGACTGCAATCCTTGCATCCTGCTGCTCTGCCACTGTTAGATGTGTCACTGTGAAGGGGAGAACATTTATGATCTGAGCAGAGTTGGGACTTACTGTAGATCATTGTCTCACCCATTGAGAGGTTCCCAACAGTAGACCACATTTATATATTCCTGGGCAGAGGTAGCAGAGGCACAGGAACGGCAAAGGGCAACTGCTTCAGAGAGTTTGGAAAAAGTAAAACTCTCAGAATTCTGGCCGGAACATTCTCCTGCCGTATTTCAAATTGCTGTTTGTACTTTGTATTGTGAAATAGCTGTCATGCTTCACAACATTTACATTTTTCTCTATTAACTACCATTCTATGTAGCCAGTATTGAATATTCAGCCTATCAACTTTTATTTATTTAGCTGTTATGTACATTGCTTAACTTGGCTACTCATCATTAACTTTCTAATGTGTACAATAAAGCACATCTTATTCATGTATGTAAGTCTGGGGCTTTTTTTCATGTAAAAGGTATTATGCTATCAGGAATGACCTTGTATGGATTGCAATCTTTGTATCACTTACAAAATATATTTTTATCTATCATTTCTTCTAAGAGAAAAATAAGCCCAGTGGGCTAACTTACTAAAACTTTATTAATATTGTTTTCCAAATCTTTATAGGCAGTGCTGGCACACCCGTCACTTTTAATGAAAATGGAGATGCTCCTGGACGTTATGATATCTTCCAGTATCAAATAACCAACAAAAGCACAGAGTACAAAGTCATCGGCCACTGGACCAATCAGCTTCATCTAAAAGCAAGTATCATTATAAACGTATATTAATGTATATAGCTCTCCAGGAGGGATGCTTTATTTTTAAGTATATAGCTTTTGCTAGAATAGATGTTCCCCATAAATAAACTTTTAAAAAATGTATGACTTGATTCTCCCTTCAACTTTAAAATGTTATGGACATTCTTAAGCCTCTGTAGAGAAATCTCCTGATATCTGTAAGAATTTAATGAACTGATTTTTTTTTCTGCAATTGACTGTACACTTAGAGAAATTTTGCCCTTTTACTAAAGTATAATTTATTGTAATCTTTGCACATTTTTTTGTATGTCTGTGTGTTGGAGGTAGGGTGGAATTGACTGAATATGCCCTCATTTATAAATTTGGGCTTTAAAAAAGGGCACATCACCTTTGCCATATCACAAGGTGAGACCTTCTGGCTATATCTGATTGATGGAAGTGAATCATTCTCTGTGTTTATATTGCCTCTTTCAATTGCAATGCCAGGGAAGGTTGATGTATCCAAGAGTGATGTTCAGATTATTTAACAGCCTTTAGAGCTACCTGCTGTTGTTGCCTACTGCAGGCACTCTTTAGGTCTAAGGTCCATTAATTCTGCAGTTTCCACAAGTGGCCATGTGAGGGCGACTTGAAGAGCCCAGCTGGAAGCAGGCTCCTAAGGGCTAGGGTTGGTGCCCAAAAGCACCAGGATATTTACTTGCCAGGTGCCACACCATCACCCAGGGCTCTGTTTCTTTCTGCTGGAATCTGGCAGGAACCCAGTGGGGATAGCACACGGGGATGGCAGTAGGGAGGAGGAGCTTCATCAGGTGTGCCAGGCTGGTGGGCTTTCCCTCAGAGGAGCTCTCTTAGGGCAGGGGTCTTTGGGGGATTTGGGGAGAGCTGCTAGGTACCATCAGTCAGGACTGCTAAGGGGCTCTGGAGCAGGAAACCACTTGTGAACTTGATGGATAAAGGAGGTCCAGGAAATCAGGGCACATGGCTGTGGATGCTGGGGTGGGGAGGGCAGGGAGAGTATCATCTATTTACTACCAGGTAAAAAAGGTTTTTCACATTTCAACAGCTCTTGTCCCCAATTAGTGCACAGTGGCTTTTTTTAGGTATAGAGAAGTATGGTGCACATTCTGTAGTCTCAGCTGAGGACTGGAGTTCATTCATACAGCATCTCTTCCATGGAAATGTAGGACTAGTCACAGAAATTTGGTGGCCAGGAAATCACTATGAGAACAGTGATGTTCTGTAGACAGTAAGCTGCTTTTAAAATGTTTCAAATAAACTAGGAAAGTATTCTTCTTCTGTTCTGTTGTTTTAATGTGTAATTCACTTTCTTCTAACAAAAACCATTTCCTCTTCTTGATTCCCAGAGTTACCATAATACTGTGAGAGTGTGTTTTAACCTACTCAGAAGACATCAATTTGATAGTTTTAATCAACTTTTTGTTTTGTATGTCCAGATATGTCCCCTGAAGTGATATGACTATGCAGCACCAGTCACCCAAGTTTTCAAAAAAGTAGACGATGAGAAATTACAAAACTATACAGTTGATGATTTATTTTCTTCCTGATAATTATGCCAGCTATGCACTTAATGCACAGGCAGCTGATGTTTACAGCTATTGTAGTGATACATAAGACCACCTATCAATAATTTACTACTTGTAGGTGTTTCATGCAATCTTATCCATTGTCCTGTGATCCAAATTGACATTTATTGAAACATAACTTTGATAATGTCACAGGTTATTGATAATCAATAGCTTTTTGAGAGAAGCCCTTTTGAAAGAGGACCTATGGGAAATGAAATAAGACAGTAATGATTTGACAAGGTCCAAGATAGGAAAGCTACTTTTTATCTGACTTTTATTAATGTCAGACTGCCTATTATTAATATATTCTGATGATTAGGGATTTACGCAACAAAATTCAATGTTTGAGAAATATATACACTAACATACAATACCAAGACACTTGACATAATTTTACACACAAATACACATATATACACATCTCTCCATATACGCATAATGAAGTCATAAAACTTCCTATTGATTCTTAAGCTGCTCTTTTATGTACAGTTAACAGTGCATGAAAGTTTTATGTTTATGACTGTGTTATCGTTCATAAAATGTATCAAAACAATTTGTGAGAATTATTTCTCATGCATGATTATGATCATTTATAACTAAATAGCATTGCTGGTTTTACTGAAACAGGGGAAATGCAGCTCTTAGAAGAAAAAACAATAAATTGGACTGTGGGGAGGGGTTATAAATTAAGAATTGAATTCTGAGGATTATCAGGACAAAACAAATGATCTTCCTCCTTAGGAGTTGGATTGGTCACCTGTTTGAAGGTGGAGTAGTAGAGTGTTGGGCAAGCTACCGATGTATTAATGTTCTGCTTAGATCTTAGGCAAAGCACTAAACAAATTATTTGCCTCAGTTTTATCATGTCTAAAGTGAAAACAGTAGGACCCACCTTATGTGGTTGTAATAAGCATTAAATGAAATAATACAATAAAGCACTTTGTCCAGTGTTTGATACATCTGAGATCTATAAATGTTACTTATGATTAATCCTGTATCTCAATATTCTACCTGGTCAGTGGGAGACCTGAGAGATAATGAGTGTACTGGGTAAAGTGAAGTTCCCATTAGAAGAGGCACTTGAGTTTATGTGAGGAAGTTCAGAGAGAATCTCTGTATTTAAAATGCTGACTGTTTGTCCCCACAGCCAGTCCTTTCTGCTTGTCTTAGATATTGGCCTTAATACTTGGAAAATCCCTCTACACTCAAAAAGTAAACTTTATATAAGAAATTTATTTTCCTATGTTACCATGTGGTTAGGTATCATCACCTAGACAGTTATTTTTTGAATTGATTTGATAAATTCAGTCTGTGCTCATACTCTGTGACAGGTGTTGAGACTAGAGTGAATATGTGAGCCCTGCTCTCAGAGTACTCGGAGATTAGAAGGGGAGACAAACACTCGGACCCACCATTCTAGCACAATGAAGCAGGTGCACTGATGAAGGTATATGTATGGTTTTGCAATGGCAGCCTAGAGAGAGGCTCCTAATCTGTCCAGACCTCTGGTGGGGGTTGTCACTGTGGACAAAGGAGGATACTGAGAGGAGGTTTTACTCTTCTCCATATACTCTATCTCTTTTTGTTCTATTAAACCAGATTTATGATAGCTTTCACATTCTCAATGGTAAGCATTTATCAGTCAGTTATTGGATTCAACTCTGCTTGTTTTCAAAGAGCCAGTTTTTCTGGCTGAATTCAACCATAGTATAAATTTGTACAAATAGGGTATATGGTTAGGCATATTTGAGTGCAGTAAATTTGCCTTGAGTATATCTTAGTGAATTGAATGAATTGCTTAAATAAGTAGATTATTCTTTTTCTTTTTCCTGGAAAATACATCTGGGTTTTCATTTCCTCAAAAGCATTGTCTTTATTGTTCCAAACACTATTGTTTCTTTTTTTTTTTTATGAAACTAACATATGTTCTTAATTTAGCAATTACAATCAATTAGCATAATTTGTTTAATTTTTCTACTCAGTAATCTCAGCCCACACATGAGGAGTGTATTGTCTACCTGAGAGTGAGTAACAATGGGTCTCTATTTTGTTAGGCAGAATCTCTCAAGAGGCAGGTGGTCCTTATTAGTGATTACAAAACATATTGTAACCTAGAGGTTCAGAGTAAACAGAAGAGCCTGAACTCTGAAAAGAACAGCCATATGCTGCTCTATGTCCACAGGGAGAAGGTTTGTTGGGGATACTGTATGGGCCAAAAATAACTCAGGGCTTTTTGTTTAATGCTTTTTCCAACCAGAGCTACTTTTTCTTGATTACTATAGGAATGAAACATTTGTTTTTATTGGTTTCAATGTATCATTTCTTTTTATAATCAAGGACAGAAGTTGAATCCCAATTACACTTATTAGTGGCAAAGTATAATTTGGAAACGTGATTCTTTTTTTTTTTTTCAAGACAGAGTTTCACTTTCATTGCCCAGGCTGGAGTGCAATGGCACTATTTTGGCTCACCACAACCTCCGCCTCCCGGGTTCAAGTGATTCTTCTGCCTCAGCCTCCCAAGTAGCTGGGATTACAGGCGGGTGCCACAACGTCCAGCTAATTTTGTATTTTTAGTAGAGTTGGGGTTTCTCCATGTTAATCAAGCTAGTCTTAAACTCCTGACCTCAGGTGATCCACCTGCCTCGGCCTCCCAAAGTGCTAGGATTACAGGCATGAGCCACCATGCCCGGCCTGGAAAGGTGATTTGAGGAGAACCTGATTTAATTTTAAACCTGATTCAATTTTCAGTGGACAATTCCATAGAAGAAATATTTTTGACAGGACACTGAGTTCTGAGCCTCAGTATTCTCATCTAAGTGGGATAATGGCTATTATTATGAATAGTAAATGCATTGTAATATGGTGGTCAAGAGCAATATCTCAAAGTCAAAAAGAAGATATTTGAATTCTGACCTTTCATTCATAAGCTGTGTCACCTTTGGCATGTTACTCAGACTCAGGTTCTTTATCTACATACTTCCTAGAGTTCTTGAAATCATGAAGGAAATTGTATATACAAAAATCCTAGAACATTGACTGTCACATATTAAGTATTGAATGAATATGATAATAACAACTTTTTCTTTTGCCAGTACAACCAGCCTACAATAGAGGACCTATAATGGATATTTCAGCATGAAGTCAAATTGAAGCTGTATTTGCAGTCTTCTTTCTGTCTTTATTCGAATGTTTTGAGCAGGGAGTAGCTGTAAAGAGAGGTATATGCACCATGATATCTTGTCTGTCTACATAATAAGCCCAAAGTATTTGTTTTGATATTTTAAAAATTAGGCTCTTTTAAAAACTACAACTTGACCAAACTTTCTGATAGAATTTTGCTCCACTAAATTAATCTTTACCACATAGCTATAGTATAGTATTTATTTTAATTGAATGTATGCATTTTCCTATAGAT